TTTTTTTTTTTTTTTACAGGGTGGAAAGGAGAGGGGGGGAGGGGGAGAGAGGGAGAGAAACATCAATGTGAGAGAGACAACATCAATTGGTTGCCTCCCACATGCACCCTAGAGGCCCTTGACCAGGAATCAAACCCTTGCCCCTTTGGTGCACAGGCAGATGCTCTAACCACTAAGCCACACTGGCCAGGGCCTAAAATCGATTTTTAAAAAACCACACACACACACACACACACACACAGACCTCCCCAACTCCCTCCAGGTCCCACCTCCACCACCAGCCACTTGCCCTTTCTGGTTGCCTTGTTTGCCCCACCTGCCCACAGAAGGAACAAGTCCCTTCCCCCTCTGCCTCAGCCTCCAGAGGAGGGTTTGTGGTTGCAGACACCATCTTCAGTGAGAAAGTGCTGGGGTGGAATGAGGCCAGCACCGTGCCTGCAGTCACTCCGGACCCATGCTCCCACAGCAGACCACAGCGGACCACGTGGCTGGAGACTGAAGTCTGTCTTGAAGTGGTTCCTGGCTTGGAGCCTGTGGTGTCCTTCCCCAGAGGAAATGGGCCCAGCAGCTCTGTTCCAGCCCCTCCAGGATGACAAAGTGTATCCTCCAGCCCATGTGGCCAGGCTGCCCTCAGTGAACATCTAACATGCAGTGGGGTTAGGGCTGGGGGTGGAATAGCCAGTGACTATTCCTGAGGCAGAGCAGCACCAGGCTGGCCTCAGGAAGGGGAGGCCTCCAGGAGGTGGTGTTTACCATGGGCCTGGAGGAGAGTTTGAAGTCTCTGGCAGGTCTAGAGGACACCCCACACAGGTGCCTGGAGCAGAGGCATGACTGGCCGAGCACAGGCAAAGCTGGCCAGGCTGCAGTGGCTTTCAGCATGAAGGGGAGATGTCCAGCTGTGCCCCAGGGTCGGGGGGAGGGGGGGCTAGGAAGCCAGACAGCCCTGGGTGCCATTCAGGCCACTTGGTGGCAGGCAGGGGTGCCATGGGGGCAGGGGTGCCGGGGGTGCTCTCAGATGAATTCCTGGGCACACGCCTGTCATGTGGCTGCCCTCAGGAGGAGGGGCTGAGTGGAGGACTTTAAGGATGTGGAAAAAAGCTCCATTCATCCTAGACCTCAGCCCTGCTTGGCCTGGGGAGGCAGGAGGCATAGAAATGTGAGATCCTGAGCAACTGCACCCCCAGGGAAGAGGTGGGGAGGTGGGCTGAAGGCCCAGAGGATTGGCACCGTGGAGCTTGGGGTCCTGGCTGGGAGAAGCTGGGGCATGCCCAGGCCGGCATCTGTCCAGCCAGGGAGAGGGTGAGTGTGAGGGCGGCCCTGGGGGTGGGTACAGGCCCCACTGGTGGCACCATGAGCTAAGTGGCGGAACACCTACAGAGGGAAGCCGCTTCCTGCTTCCTGGAGGGACTATGCTTGTACAGGGTCCCCAGAGGAGGCTGCTGGGCATCCTCAACTCCACCTCTGCAGCCACCCCTCACCTCAGGCTGGCCACCAACCAGACTGGCCCCCGGTGCCTGGAGGTGTCCATTCCTGATGGGCTCTTCCTCAGCCTGGGGCTGGTGAGCCTGGTGGAGAACGTGCTGGTGGTGGCCGCTATCGCCAAGAACCACAACCTGCACTGGCCCATGTACTTCTTCATCTGCTGCCTGGCCGTGTCCGACCTGCTGGTGAGCATAAGCAACATGCTGGGGACAGCCGTCATGCTGCTGCTGGAGGCGGGCGCCCTGGCTGCCCAGGCCCCCGTGGTGCAGCAGCTAGACCACGTCTTTGACGTGCTCATCTGTGGCTCCATGGTGTCCAGCCTCTGCTTCCTGGCCGCCATTGCCGTGGACCGATACATTTCCATCTTCTATGCTCTGCGATACCACAGCATCATGACACTGCCCCGGACATGGTGGGCGATCGCAGCCATCTGGGTGGCCAGTGTCATCTCCAGCACCCTCTTCATTGCCTACTATGACCATACAGCTGTCCTGCTCTGTCTTGTCAGCTTCTTTGTGGCCATGCTGGTGCTCATGGCAGTGCTATATGTCCGAATGCTTGTGCAGGCATGCCAGCACACCCGCAGCATCACCCGGCTGCACAAGAGGCAGGGCACAGTCCCCCAGGGCATTGGCCTCAAGGGGGCTGCCACTCTCACCACCCTGCTGGGTGTTTTCTTCCTCTGCTGGGGCCCCTTCTTCCTGCACCTCTTGCTCACTGTCCTCTGTCCTCAGCACCCCACCTGCCACTGCATCTTCAGGAACGTCAACCTCTTCCTGGCCCTCATCATCTGCAACGCCATCGCGGACCCCCTTATTTATGCCTTCCAAAGCGAGGAGCTCCGGAAGACGCTCCAAGAGGTGCTGCTGTGCTCCTGGTGAGCGAGGGTGCCTGAGTGCTCAAGGCCAGGGTGCTGGGCAGAGGGAGGTGTAGACATCACATGGGTCAACTCCTGTGTGACCGGCAGTCACTTGCCAAAGAGGACAGGCTAGATGATTTCTGAAGGTGTGGACACACGAACCCTTTGGGGCCAGAGAGAAATCAGCATGAATCTCCAGGAGTGGTTCAGGAGGCTGGAGAGATGGGACCACAGGCACAGGGCAGGTCCTGGGCTCCTGGACAGACACAGCCCACTCCAGGACAGCTCCACCTGCACCCAGAGACAGGCAAGGACCCATCTGTACCCCCAACCACCAGGATGTGAAGTCTGTGGGCTGGCAGAATGCTGCTCCCAATGAGGACCTCAGGAGAAGAGACTCTGTGACAAGTAGGACCTGGCCTCACAGCAGAGGGACATGGCTGCAGAAGCCACAGTGGGAGTGTGGGGCTGATCTCTTCTAGGGCTCATGGTGCCTGGAGAGCTGGGGGCTTGGCCCATTTGTCTGTACCACACCTAGCAGACAGTGTCAGCCAATGCCTGCACAGGCCAAGGCAAAGGCCATTAGCCTGAATCAGTGACTAGTACCCAGGATCACAGGGCTGGGAAACATCTGTCAATAAATGCTGTGCACACAGCAGCCTCATTGCCATTTGCATTGGCTCCTTCTAGAAGTTGCTTGAAGCTTGAGGGTGGAGGAGCTGGGGAGGAGGGGAGTGGAAGTGATGAGCAGGGAGAAGTCAGTCCCAGAAACCAGCCAGAAACCCCAAAGGACCTAGAGTGCCTGAATCCCCGGCCCAGGGGAGTGCACAGACCCCAGCGGCCCTTACTCTGATGCCGTCTGAGGCTTCTCCTTGTGCGCACACCCAGCCCAGGGCAGCTGGAGTAGAGAGCAGCAGGAGCACTGCTGCCCCGAGGCGCCTCCACGGGAAGAGGCTGACACTGCCCAGGCTGCCCTCAGCGGTGGCAGAAGCAGGGCCACCGTGACGCACTGTGACCTTGGCGGAGCATGAGTAGTCAGTCCCTCCTCCACACCTGCTCTAGGACACCCTCAGGGGTCCACAGTGCAGGCTGGCCCAGGGCTGGAATTTTGTTCCTCCAGCACTACCAGCCCTGGTAGATATTTGAGGCCTCCCAGAATGGGGTGAAGCTGTCCAGTGGCTGCAGGCAGTATCCCTGGGAGTGGTATCTGGACTGGATCGTGCTGCATGGTTCTGGGGGCCTTTGGGTTCTCACTGTGCTGTAACCCTGGGCCTCTTGCTGAGGAGCAACCTGGTTTCCTCCACAGACAATGAGCATGCAGTCGACCCTATTGCTGGTACGAGCTCAGTGGTGGCAAAAGTGATGGCATCAGCTAACTCCAAGGCAGTTCTAGTAACGTCTGCAGTCCCCTGGCCAGTCCCCACCTCACCCATGCTGGCAGCTCCAGCCCTGACGGCTGGCCTCTGGGAGCTGGTTCCCGGCAGGGCCAGCCTTTGCTGGGAGACAGGATGGCGAGTCAGCCTTGAGCCCAGCACCAGAGCCCTCTGGGGATGGAGGGGGAGCGAGCCTGGCCAGATGCCATTCTGCAGGGAGGCAGGCCCAGTGATGGGTCCTGGCAGACAGGATGCTGCAAAGCTTCTTCTGCTCAGACAGGGAGGCGCAGCTGGCACCAAGGAAGAGCCAAATGTCACCAAGGACCCCTAACTGGGGACAGGGAGGGGCCCCAGGAAGGGGCTGGAAGCCAACCACAGAAAGCCACATCATGGACACATTGTAGGGGAGGGGCTTCTCTTGAGAACAAAAGACCCATTTCTAGACTTGCCAAACTGGGGAGCTTCAGGAGGGGGAAGAGAGAGGCCTGGACACATCCACACGTGCCAGGCCACTCCTGGGCACACACCCTGGATGCAGGTGCGCCCACAAGCTTGTTCAACTGACTGCGGATGCCCTTCCTGGAGGATTTGTTACTGAAACATCAGGACGACCTGTGTCCTCACTATAACGACTGAGCCCAGGAGAAACCAGGGGTGTCTATGTGTAGCAGGGTCTGTATTCACGTGAAGGCCCCCTTCCTTTCTCTCTGACCAGTGGACTCCCTTCCCCAGTGTTCCCTGCAAAAACCTGCACCTTATGCACACACCAGCTCCCTGCATACTCCTCCCTGCTCCCCACTGCCGTGGCCTCACTTGGACCAAGAGGACAGACAGGTGACACCAGGGAGTAAGACAGAAATGACTGCAACCCCCCGTGGGTCCCTCGCCTGGCTGGCTGTGTCCTTACGATAGTTTCTGACGCCAGTACTCACTGAGCAGTGGCTACGGGCCAGCACGGTGCCTGGCGGGTGCAAAGCAAGGCCCATCCGTAACCGGGCGGCGCGGGCCGGAGGAGGCGGCATCCCCGCCGCGGAGACCGGGCGCTCGGA